TTTCCCTCACATATGTATGCAGAGACCTTCTAAAAAAAGCCACAGTTCAGAAAGTTAGAGTCAATCACAATGAACTGATTTTAATGGCGTGTGGTTTGCTTTTTCTGCTAACGAAACCCAAGTCGTATTTTCTTACTCCAGATAAGCCGAGCATCTCAGAGTAGGTGGCGGAGGCCAAGCATGCAGTGGTTGGTCCCGACACCTCAGGAGTAGCTAAAAATGTCCAGTATGCCTGACTTCACACACAGAACGTTCCAGGATGTGAGGGAACCAGACATTCATCACGATGGGTCGTTTACATGTGTCTGTGGAACAGACTAGTGAAGACTAACTTTAGTTAGACTAAGACTAGGTGGGTCTCACGCCACTGACTGCTCTCAGTTCTGCACTTCAGGGGAGACAGACGAGCATCACTTCCCTTTCAGCCTCCTTTACTAACATGTGCCACACCACTCACACTGTTCTCATAGCCCGCAGGTTTCACCTCTCCAAGTTCCTTTTCCTCATCTGTAAATTGCAGATGAAGAACCACTCTTCCCTGAGCGCTTGGCGCACGGCGAGTGCTCCGACTGTGAATCGGGATTCATAGCTGTACATTCTGAGACACGAGAATGAGCCATCTGGGCCTCCCTGGTGGCGCAGGGGGTTAACACGCGACCTATGAAGCTGTCTGCAGCCGCTGCTGCACGAGTTCCATCCCCAGCCAGGGAGCTACCCACATGGCACAGTAGACCTCTCCTGTCTCCCTGCTGCTCCCCTCAACAGTGTATTTCAGTAGATCTGCCTGTTCTGCTCCCCACTCTGTCTCTGGTGAATCCTCTCACCCTTTGCATCTCTGACCTGCACCCCAGTTCTTTTACCCAAAAATAAGCAAATAGTAATGCATCTGAATCACATTACTTGGAAGCGTACTCACATTGTTCCTGTATAAAGTTGGGTCATCAAAATATGACTTCCTGGGCCTCCCTGGTGGCACAAGGGTAAGCACCACACTGTGAAGCAATCCGCAGGCTCTGCAGCAATAGTTCCATCCCCAGCCAGGGAGCTACCCACATGGCACAGCAGACCTCTCCTGTCTCCCTGCTGCTCCCCTCAGCAATGTATTTCAGTAGATCTGCCTGTTCTGCTCCCCACTCTGGTGACTCCTCTCACCACCCCCATACCTCTGCCCTGTACCCCAGCTATTGCATGCATAAATAAATCTTTAAAAAAATAAAAAAGAATGAGCCATCTTGCATCACCGCTCTGCATGACGTCTCCAGAGCTCCCTCTCTCCCTTCTCTTTTGCTCCCTCAATTTTAATCATTTTGGCAATATTGCATTGTCTTTGTTTATACAGTTGCACCCCCTTAACCATGGGCGCTGAGACCCCCAGGGGGCTCCTGCAACTGTAGAGAGTGCCAAGCCCACTCAGACACAGTGTGGGTTCTGCTCTGGACGGCACAATAACACAACTATCCCAAGAAAATGAGTCATAAGAAATTATGTTCACACCGGCCTGCCGTCTGCTAAGTGTGTGGTAGCAGCATGTCTAAAAAGGGACGCACCTTAATGAAATGTGACAGACATGAAGTCAGTGCCTGCTGGGAAAATGGAGCTAACGGGCTTGGGGTGCAGTATCTGCAAAGCAAAATAAAAGGGGCATGTAGCATGCACCATACACTGTGGTGTTTAGGCACAATAAGATTTAACAATAAACTAAAACAATATATACTGTAATAGAAATTATGTGGATGTGGGCTCTCCCTCCCCCCTCAAAATATCTTGCTGTATTGTAATATTTTGAGATCACAGTTGACTTCAGGGAGCTGAAACCACAAAAAGACAACTGTGTATGGGGGGTGAGGGGGTACTGTGATTTATTTGGTTTTACAAAATAACGTACGTCAAGCCACAGACTCTTAGAAAACCTGGTCAGGGATTGGGGCTCTGGGGGTGACTGTGCTGTCCCCACCCCTCACCTGTCACCAAAGGGTTCATCTTCCAATTGGAAATACAGCCCATCCTATGGGCTCCCGTACAGTGGTTAGTACTCTGAGTTGCGGAAATACAGCCGATCCTGACTGCATCCTGTTAGCTCCTGCCCCATCCCTCCGTCCTGTCCAGTGGGGTGGATTCTGCATGTCTTTCACTAAAATGTATCAACCATGATGGCAGAGATGCTCATATTTTAGCCCCTGTGCCTAGCCCAGAGAGTAGCTGTAATAAATACTGCGAAATAAATGACTTCACACACGTCAGGCGGGTGGCATCTGAAATGAATTTGAGTATCCCACAAACACTGGCCTGGTCAAACTTCACTCCTTTCACCAGGTCGGGTGTCAACTAGTACCTGGCCGAGGCATTTGCTGAGTGCTCCAGTCAGGACAGCTCCTTTTTCACTTAACAGACCACTAAGTAGGGGATTAAAGCCTGATCTGCTTTATCAACCTACTTAATTGAATAATAAAGCACAGAGGAGGGAGGTGTCTGGAGTACTTCCTGTGTGCTAGAACTTGACTACAGGACTATACAGCCTCTCTGTGGAGCAGCTGCATTTTACATACGAAGAAACTGAGGCCCAAAAGGCTCGCTAACAGCATAGCGACAAGGGCCTGACTTGTTAACCTGCTCACAGCTCGTGTCTTTTTGCCCCAGGGAGGCCTCCTCTGTGTGAGCGCTTGAGCAGAACACACACAGGTGCAGAGGGGGGGAAGTGTTTCCTGCTCTTGCTTTTCAGTGCTCAGAAGCATTAGAAACCTCCCAAAGCACACGTTGCACTGTCAGTCGGCTCCCCAGGGCCACGGCCTACTAAATCAGCCTGCAGAGGCGAAGCAGGCAGGAAACCAGGAGACATGGCCTGCCCGCGCCCACACCCGACATGCAGAGTTGAATAACGGGCGCACACTAGTGTGCCAGCTCCCACTGTATTGTCTCCCCAACTTCCAAGAGAAGCTGGTAGGACGTCATCACAAGCAATGCGGTGTGAGTGCCTGACCCACCTTTGGGACGACCCTGCCTGTCAGGCCAGGGAACTTGGTGCATGTTTCTTCCTCAGCAAGAGTTTTGCCAACCTTTGCCACCACTGCACACAGACTCCAGACAGCCGGCCGGGGACCTGGGGAGCAGGAAACTGATACCCCAGCCCACGACCCCCTTATAGGGGCTCCCCATGTTCAGGGCAGAGCTGTGACCCATGTGAACAGGGAGTTCAGTGCGGACAACAGGCCGCCCTGGTAGCCCGTCTGCAGCCCTGGTCGTCCAGGGTCCCGGCCAGAGAATGCAGGTAGGTGCGGGCCACCCTGCAGTCTAGGCCCAATCTGGCCCTCCCCAAACAGCGCCCGCAGCCAGCATTGCCCTGACGCCCGAGCCAGGCAGTGACACAACAAGATAAAACCTCAGGCCAGTATCCCTCGTGACTGTGGACACAAAAACTCCCGAGAAGAAACTACGCAGGCTCCTGCAGCAAGGTCGAGCAGGCTGGCTCGGCAGACGCAGCGAAACATGAGTGCCACGAGGCATGAACGTCGCCATCTCAGCAGAGGCCAGGAGCAGGCCGGGACACACTCAGCATCCGGTGGTGATTTTAGGAAGGAACTCAGCCCTGACACCACACGGGCCGTGTGTGGCAAGCCCACGGCCGGCGTCACGCTGCAGGGCGGAGGCCTCGGGCCTCTGCAAGTCGACTTCACTGTGAATCCTGCCACAGCCGCCTCCCTGGCCCATCACCCCGTAACAGTTTCTGGATCTGCAATTTATGTGACTCTTACTAGTGATTAAAAACGTCATCTCACAAACGTTCAGATTCCTGAGGCACCAAGCACGTCTTGCAAGGAATTACAGGTTCGGGTGATAGTCACACAAAATTCGCTCAAGTTCCTGGACAGTTTCGCTTTTATGACCTCGTGTCTGCACTAGGGAAGGTGCTGATCGTGATGGAAAATAACTTGGGTGTCAGTAAATAAACTCTGTGAACTGGGAATGCCGGTTGCGTGTCGGTCTTTCTGAATTTTTAAATTGCCTTTGCAAGCTGTCCTCGGGAAGCTAACAGGCTCCCTCTCGTGGCAAGTGAGGGGGTGCTGCGTCGTCTCCTCCGAAGCTGTAACTGCAGGAGCTTCGGGAAGGAAAAGGAGGCGCCCTCGCTTGCTGATAGCGTGGGCGCCGTAACACTGGTTTGGTTTTGTTTTCTCTTTGGGTTTTAGAAAGGAAAGTCACGTTGGTTGACATGGACTTCGACAGCCGGGTCACAAGTGCAGAACTCAGGTCGTGCTGAGGGAGGGGCGGCCTTTAGGGAGCAAAGACGCGGGGTCCCCAGTCAGCCCCCCGGCCTCAGCTCCCCGCGAGGGGACAGACGTGCGCTTGTGCTTACAAATGTGTGAGTTCTGGCCACAGAGCCAAGCCTTTGCTTTGATAATTAGGCAGCATAAAAGGTTCACGCGTCTCCTGCCCATCCGCAGGGCTGAGCGCAGGGGGCTCGCGAAGACGCCACATTTGGAAGTCGGCCTTGGCCGTCACGCACCTGTTAACTTTGCGGAACGCACGCCTCCCCCGGCTGGTCTTTGTGAGAATCAAAATGACCAAAATCTCAGGCTTTTTGGAGTAATTACCTTTCTGCTCCAGATCATTTATACTTGGAGTTAAAAGTGCATCTTTATAGCGTTAATAACTTATGTAAAATGTTAATTCTGAATCATCAAGAAAAGTTAAAATGGCACCCAGGCAGGGCAGTCAGCAGCGCTTTCAAGACGGCCTTTGGTGTTACAGTCGGCAAAGAAAAAACGGTCGTGCAGTTTACTGACAACAGCCTCCAGCCCCAAGTGGTCAATGCCCAGTTTCCACCTCCAGGAAGAGAGGTTATGGCAAGTCACAGGAACCCCAGCACTAAACCCCCGCCCCGAGGGCCCCCATATTTTACATGGCTTCCACCCCAGCACATGCTCCTGGGCGCCCTGGCAGCTGCTGACAGCGGCCCGCCCCGGGGAGGGAGGCTGGCAGTGAACACCACTTCTTATGTTTTGCAGCGAACCACGCCCTTGGCTTCGGGACACTGGTCAGCACGTCCAACACCTACGACGGGTCTGGGGTTGTGACCGTGAAGACGGACCGCCCACTCCTCTGGACCATGGCCATCAAGCCCTAGGCAGGCCCGCGCCGGCGCACCTCTGGCCAGCGTCGTTCGCCAACAGCTCCTGCTCAACCAGACGGGGCTCCCTGGGCTGGCAGCGATCACAGCCCCCGGGGCCTCCCGCTGGTTGTAAAGCTGTTCGTGTCTAGGTACCTGCACTGTCTTGTGAATGACGGGTCATAAAGGAGGGGGGAATCGTTTTTAAGAAAGCAAATAACCGCTCTTGCAGTCAGGTGAAAAGCGAATGTGCGTCATTCCTACACACCCCCTGCAGAGATGATCATTACTCTTATGTCACTAATCATTCCATTTTCCTAGAAAATTATTTTAACTCCAAAGAAAGTTCTGCCAGGCTCGCTGGTGTCCAGCACATAGACCACCTCTCATCCGTCCTGAAATACTACCACCAGGCGCGACTTCCCAGTGTCTGTCAGGGTCTTAATCTGCTCCCGAGCATGGGAAACGCATCCTGCCAGAGGGGTGTGGCCCACTCCAGTCTTATTCTGATCCTCGATAGTGATTATCCTTCCTTCAAGAGACACTCAGCTGATCATTGCCCTTGAAAGCAGGCAGGTACTGTGAGCTCTAGGTGAGAGGACTCACGAGGTCCTGCTGCACAGCCACCCCAACCCGGCTTCTGGTGAGCACCACGCATTGGTGGAGCCACACACAGACATGATGCCACCATCGTCACGACCCACACGGAGATGCTGTGCTGGGGCTCAGGTGAAGCGGTGCTGACAGGCCTCTGGGGGTGACTGGGAGGTGAGCCTGACAGCCCAGGTGAGAGACAAGCTCCTGCCCTAAGGTGCCTGGGCCCTCGCCCAAGATCAACCGCTTAGTGGCGCCCCCCTGAACCCTCTTCCTCAGTGGGAAGTGGAAGAACTGGACTGGGGGTGCCTGACTCTCCAGCCCACACAGGAGACGGGGCACTGACCCATGTTTCCACGCCCGTCATGTAGGAGGGTTTGCTGTCCGCCCTGCTCACGCAGCTGCACGCACACCCTGCACAGACCTGGACGCAGGCCACGCCCTGCCCACGCTCAGGGGAGGGACACTCCCCTTCCTGGTGCTACAACAAGGGGCGTCAGCCCTGGGGAAGGCCAAGGGGGGCTCAGCTGACCAGCAGGAGATTCTCAACGGTTGGCTGTTGTTTGATCACTTTTGCAGATAAATGAGATTGAATCCAAGTGTCAAATAAAAATATGTCATTATCAACGCACACGTCTGCAGTCAGTTCTTAGGGAAGCGCTCCGCTTTCTCCCCGGTCTCCTGACCCGTCTCATCGCCAGTATTTCTAGCCCAAAAGAAAGGTTTCCTCAGAGGGTAGTAACAGCCACGAAGCTCCATCTCCTCGGGAGCAGCCCCCACGGCTGCTGCTCTCTCTGACCCCGCAGCGTCCCTCTGGGGCACACGGGCCCAGCCTTCACACCTGACTTCTCTGGACTCCTTGGCTCACCTGTAAAGTAAGGGTTCTGGCAGCACCTGCTCACCTTGTCGGACTTTGAACGGAAGGCCCGGGGGTGGCTGAGATGTACATGCGGGAGGGACGGCCCAACACACACAGGACCGCTCCAGCAGGGAGAGGCGACCCGGGGAGGAAGGGCCGGCAGGCCCCACAGCGGAAGGGCCAGTTCTAGGTCTTTCTCTGCCTTCTCAGCACACAGCGAGCACAGAGCTCTGTCCCGCCTGCTGCCTCGGTTCACAGCAGGAGCCGCTGTAAGAACCTGCTGCGGGGAGCCTGACCTAGACCAGACCCCGCCCCGGGAGCCCGCACCCCCGCAGGAAGGGCCCAGGTCACCGAGGGGCGCAGTCCAGTGCCGGGGCTCATGATAAAAGCAGTCGCTGGCTGAACCTTAGCAGGCCCTGGGGCAGGGGAGGGGTCCCCCCACCCCCATGACCGCTGCGTGTCATGCTCTTGGCACCGGGGCTTCCTGCGAGGGCTGGGTGGCCTCCCTGGCCTCCTTACAGTGACGAAAGCAGCTTCCCTCCTGATGTGCTTCCTCGCCACATCCTTTCAACAAGTTGCCGCCATCCTTTTATGCAGGTCAGTCTGCAGGTTCAAGACTAAGGCGCCCGTGAGCTTGCCCGGCCTCGGCACCAGGCGCCACACTCCCTGTTCTCCGCTCTCCCCCCCAGCCCACCCCCCTGAAGCCCCAGAGTGTGGAAAAGTAAACAAGGTGGTCAAGGACAATTTAAAAAAAAAAAATCTACAGCTTCTATGCTCCCGAAGCCCTGGAGTCCCGGAACTGTGGCGACCCGAGGCCCCGGCGCCGGGGCCCGCGCAGAGCCCAGGACACGGACCAGGCAGAGCCGGCGTCCTCGCGCCTCGGTGCACGCCCAGACAGCCGCTGGGCCGGGCCTGCGCCCGCACCGCTCGTGGAGCAGGGAGGCAGCCGGGCCGGCCCTCGTAAGGTGCGGACACGGGGTCCCGCTGCCGGCACGAGGCGGGCGTCTCAACCAGGCCTCGCTTCCCACCCCACAGCCTCACCCGAGCTGTCCAGATAAAGCAGCGGGGGGACTTGGCCGAGACCGAGGACGCCTGCCCGTTGCCAGGCAGGGAGCCACGACTTCCCTCCCTTCAGGCTGTGACTGACGGGCGTGGACGGACGGTGACCACTAGCAACACCCGGTCCTGTGACCTGGTGCACGCACTCACACACACACAGACACACGCACACACAGATGTGCAGCGTGCACTAATAATACTTTAAAAGGTGAAAACTACACAGATCAATTTTAGCTTGAAAAAAACACCAAAGGGGAAAGACATAAAGGAGCTTTTTTAAATGTATGTGAGTGTGAGTGAGCAAGTGTGTGTGAGTGTGAATGCAAGAGTTGTGCGTTGAGCACACACTTTTTCCAAGTCCAGAACAGTGCAAGTACAATTCCCCACTCTCTCTTTACCATGAAGTAATAGTTTTTGTTCTCCTGGAATAACCCGCCATCGACAGCCGACCAGTGTGACCCTGTTGGGGAGTAACAGATTCAGTGTCACCTCATCAGGAATGGGGGTGGGGGACACGAGATTATTTGCGGCTAGAACATTCTATTCAGAGTGAAATACATGGTCCTTATAAAAGTGAAGCCTCAAGGTCAGGGAGGCAGCGTAGACGGGGCGGAGAATCGTCGGCACACACGGCGAGTCAGCCCCTCCCTGCCCAGCGGACTGCACTCATCAATCCTAGTAGCCCTAGTTTCCTGATGAGCCCAGTCTGAGCCTCACCTCCAAACAGCTCTCCAGGCAGCCATGATCAACTGCCGCGGCTGGAGCCAGCATGTGTGCGCGCTCACCCCCGTGCCCCAGACAGCCACGCTGCCGCCCCCCACACAGAAGGGTGAGTGGACAGCTGAGGACACGTCCCCGGGGGCGAAATTCCAGCACTGGAAGCAGGGCCTGTCTCCAGCAAAAGAAAAATGAACACCGCCCCTGTCTGTGTCTTGAGAAGCATAGACCAGGCCCGAGATCACTCAGACTTAAAATATAAGAAAGTTCTCACTCCAGACCCAGCGCCGCTCCCCGGAAGCGAGCCGTCTCGGACGCGCGGTCTGTGCGAGCCAGAGGTGGGCTGTAGCTGACAGTAAACGGAATTGATAGAAGTGTGATCACCCGTCATCCCTTAAACATTTCTTTTAAAAAATGTTTAAAACTGGGCCTCCCTGGTGGCGCAAGGGGTTAAGCACCGCAGTATGAAGCAATCCGCAGCCTCTGCAGCACAAGTTCGATCCCCAACCGGCCAGAGAGAAACCCACATGGCACAGCAGACATCTCCTGTCTCGCCCGCTGCTCTCCTCAGCAGTGGATTTCAGTCAGTCTGCCTGTTCTGCTCCCCACTCTGTCTCTAGTGGATCCTCTCACCCCCCGCATCTCTGGCCTATACCCCAGCTCTTGGATGCATAAATAAATAAATCTTTTTTAAAAAATGTTTCAAACCTAAAGAATATTTAATAGCCAGTTATGTTTTGGGACAATAAACATGTGTAACTGAGCAAAAAATTCTGCAGGACCCGAGCAGAGAGCAGAATCAGAACAGCTTCGCTGAGTTTTGTAAGGTGGAGGCCGGGGCAGGGACGGGGCAGGAAAGGGGAACTTGAAACTGCTGCCACCTGCATCCCGGAGACAGACGGGCTAGAGCCAGCCTGATGAGCAGCAATGAAAGAACAACCAGTTCTGAGAGAAAAACAACTTTGAAAAGCAACTTCGACTCCACATTCTCCACCTCTCTCCAAGGCCAGACCCTGCCCTGCAAAAGCTTACCCTTCTCCCCCAAAGGGGGAGACTTCTCGGACCCCTGTGGGGGGTCAGTGACCCTCGCCCAGGGGCACAAATAAAGTTCCTGCCTGTCAGAAAATACGCGGGCCTCACCTCCCGCTGCTGCCTGGGCCAGGAGAAGACAGCACGGCTCCCCCAGTGCCTGAAAACTAAGGCGCGTCTCCTCCCTTGACCCCTAAGACCTGAGCTGATGGGTTAAAGCTTCCCGGGAATAGGTTCCTTGGCCCCTAATACAAATGCCCTAGCGCTAGACTGGACAGACGGGGTTATGTCCCCTCCCTTATCGGAAGGAGGAGACACTGTCCACAAGGTCAAGGCTGGGCTTGAAGTCACCTTCCAGTGCAGGACCAGCCAGGCACAAGGGAACGCCAGAGGCCCAGACACTAAGTTGGTGGGAGCAGACAGGGAAAGGCACAGCCAAAGACGGGTCTGGGCGGCCGGACGGCCTGAAAGAATCAAGATCCCCATAACATGAAGTGCACATCTGACTGGCCTGACACGAGGGAAAACGGAAAAGCAAGAGCAAAGACATTTCTTCCCAAAGCTGGAAATCCTGTAGCTGGACCTATTTCCAGCCTTTGGAGGCTCAAGGAATGACCTTGACCCTGCGAACTGAAGGAGACTGCAGCCAGGAACACCTGCAGCTGAGATCCCTCCAGACCATGCACTCAAGTCTGATCTTTTCCTGTTCCTCATCTTCTGGTTCCGTCATTAAACCTTTAACCTCGATATGAAATTGGTCCTAAGTCTGAAGCCATAACGACCGATGGTGTGTTACCTCCACCCAAATTAACCACACTGAAATCTTGTCACTGGTGCTTTTGATTCACTGCTCTCGATTAACGAAGAAATGGCACTGGAAGCTTCTAAAAAATCCTTATAGCTGCAAAATGGCTTTGATTTAAGAAGCACTTCTTATCCGAAAAGCTTATCTTCATGTGACTTATTAACACAGTTACTCAGCTCTCTGCAGACTGCCTGGAGAGGCTTCCTATGCAACACCACAGAGACCCCAGACTTGCCCCCCACACCCTCCAGATAGCCCCAATAATTTCATTACCGTCTGTTATAAAATCTGAAGAGTCATCATCTCAAAACAGGCTTTCCGCACACAACTATGGGACCGACTAGACGAAGACCACAGCGTTGAGGCCTTCTCAGAGCAATACAGAGGGGGACCTTTTTGGAATCTAGGAATTATTAAGTGTCCATCAGTTCTCTACTATATCAGCTTCACTAATTTCAGGAAGACTTTTCATTCTACCTCTCATTCCCTTTTCATGAAAAAAAAAAAAAAAAAAAAATGGTCCAGGCCTCAGGCCCACCCAGGCTGTCCGTTCACATACACACGCCTTAAAATTCAGGGCACCCACGTGAATAGGATGAGAAATGCGGCAGGAAGTTGTTGGGGTAGGTTGTAGTGAATTTATGATGCATATTTTAAAGTTGACCTTTTAATCCAAGTTTTTATTCAATTCCATTGCAAGGAGTCGAGCCACACGCTGGGCCTCAGTATTGGTGAGCCCGTGGCACTGAGCGGGTTTCAGGAGAACGTCACCGAGTAAATCACGAAGAAGCCAATAGGTTCTCTTTAAGGCTAACTGGAGCTAGAATAGAGATTTTTAAGGAGGAAAGCAAGTTTTCCACAAAAAGGAGAGTTGGTCCTAAATTTTAAGGACCTTCCTCTGGGCTGCAGTGGTGATTGGCAGGAGCTAAACCCCACAGCACAGCATCAAGGAAATATTAGTCACAGGGGCGGGATGGATGGACGGACTCTGAAGGACGAGGGTGCACAAAAGCCCCGTTACGAAGTCTCCACGAGGAACATGCCGGCCTCCTGCATCCCCAGAGAAGCAGCATCGCCCCGACCCGGCCACCAGCAGCCACAGGGCGGGCTCACCGGGGCCCTGCAAGCTCCCTGTGGGGGGGCAGCTTCCACCCAGCACAAGACTAACAACCCAGCGATCCGACCCCTAAGTTTCGCCCCAGACTCCACGCTAAGGACAGCCCAGGACATCCAAGACTGTCCAGCAGGAGCTGGTGGGCGACACAGGCCTTTCCAGGTGCGTGTGGCTGAGCCACGAGCAGCCGCAGCCACCTCCCCCGGGGAATTTCTCACACGCGCGTCCTCGCAGCCTCATGGAACGAGCTGCGACTGCGCTGAGCCTCAGGCCCCAGGCGGAACACCGGCGCCTGCAGAGGAACATCAGCAGAGGAACAGGCGTCTCCTGGCCAGAGGCGCGTCCCCGAGACCCAGCAGGAGACTGACTAGTTCTGTGCTGTCTGGTTGCAACGAGTCAGCTTCCAGCAAAGCAGGAAACACAGACGTGTGACAAAACTTCGGGCTTTGAAATAGAAATGCGCCATTCAATTCAAAATGCTCACATTCTGGGGCCTCCCTGGTGGCACGGGGTTAAAGTCTCAGCTCTATCAAGCTCTCACCAGCCACTGCCCCATGAGTTCAATCCCCGGCCAAGGAGCTATCCACGTGGCGCAGCAGACCTCTCCTGAGCAGGTGCTCCCCTCAGCAGTGTATTTCAGTAGATCTGTCTATTTTGCTCCCCACTCTGTCTCTGGTGAATTCTCTCAGCACCCCACACCTCTGGCCTGCATCCCAGCTCTTGTATGCATAAATAAAAATAAATCTTCTAAAAAATAAGATAAAAAGATACAATAAAATGTGAACTTCCCTACAGGTTAAAAAACAATACATCTTTACATTTTAATAAAGACACCACCAGGGCATTCCCACGAACGGGCCCAGAGGGACTCAGGGAGGCAGGAAGATGATCCTCAAAGGCACTCGTGAGCGGAAGCACAGACAGACAGGCCAGGGACAGATGCCCACAGCTGCTGGCCTGCCCCGGCCGCTGTGTCCGGCTCACCTTCCAGGCCAGGCCCAGCCGGAGCACCGACTTAGCCAAGAGACGCCCACATCCCAGCTTCTCCCACCCCAACCCTGGCTCTCAACCCCGGTCACTTTGCTGAAATTTTTTTTTTTTTTCAAAGAACTCATTTCCTAGCGGACCGTCTACTTTACGCATTTATTAAGCTGTCTGGCTCCCTCCTGCTAGAATGCAGCGGCTAAAATGACAATGATCTTGGTTTTATTCAGCGCCTGGCACAGGCAGAGCCCTGCAGCCCACGGGTGCCTGCTGAGAACTGACCCCGAGCCGTGGCTGTGACCCGAGCCAGCAGGAGGCAAACGGGGTATGTGCCCCGCAGGGCTTACAGCCGAGCACTCCTGGAGACGCCCAGGTGACAGCTCATGTCAGAGAATTCTAGAAATGGAAAAACATCCAGAATTGCACCCACCGCCTTCATAGCAACTAAACTACCAGATTGCTGAAAGGCACATGGAGCACACGGTCAGGAGCTTGGGTTCAGGGCGCCAGGGACGTGCCCTACAGATCACACACCACAGACCCTCGGTCCAGTGTGTGCAAAAGGCTTTGCCCAGTGCCTCGCTGCAATTAAATGATCAACAAAATAATCCAAGACACCACGTCAGTCTAGGCTTGCAGCGACTCCTCCCCTGAATAAAAATGTTTGCTTCAAATGGAAATAGCCCCATTATAAATAAAAATAAAAATAAAAACCCTGCACGGCCACAGAGTCTCAGACTTTCTTCAGTCGTCAGCTGGCCTGAGACGGTCCCATGCCCACTTTTCTGCACTTCTGCCAGCCGAGGACTGACCTCAGGCCATTTTTAATTAGCACCCCTTAAAAACGGCTTGCTAAATGAGTCGACTATGAAATAACCTCCCCCAAAAGACCAGGTTCGAATTGCATTTCCAACCCATCAGCTGTTTCCGCTGCAGAACATCCCCTCCTGCAGGTCACTAGCCACAGCGTGCAGGGGCCTGCTTCACCCACCACCGCGCGCTGGCCCACGCCGCCAGCCCACGCCTCCCTGGTGGGCATTTCCGTCCCCCAGAAGCAGCTCCGGCCCCTCCTTGCCCAGTGGGGAGGGGGTTTCACGGTCGGCCTCTCTCCTCCAGGTAAACCACCCCTCGGCACTGGTGAGGAAAGCCGGGGCCTGGGTCAGCAAGGACGCAGCGGGGG